CTGCTGCTGCTGCTGCTGCTCCGGCAGCAGCTGCACCACCGTCTCCGCCGAGCCACCATCACAGCTACTGCTCATCATGGGCATGATGACCGTCATCATCATCATTTTCGCAAGCATCATGCAACGAAAGGGGGAGGCCTTTTGACCTCTCAGGTGGGCGCCCCACAACATCGCCCGCGCGCCAAAGCTGCGCCAGCTGTGTCAGCCGTGGCGGACGCCGACGAGGCGGCAGGGGCTTTTCTGCTTACAGCTATGAGGAAATGGCACATTGGTTGTATTCATTGCAAGGCATGTTGAAGAGGGACTATGTAGGGGTTTTCTACTGCGGAATTTCTTGGGATGATTGATTAGTGCCTTCATTTGAGGAATCTCTTCTTCTAGCACGCATCGTAACTGTGAAGAAAGGCACTCACGGGAGCATGTAGAGTCATAGGAGTTGTGGCTTTTCTGGGAGTTGATCCGCTTGCACGAGTTTATGGGATAAGTTTTCTGTAGGAGGGAGGGTTTGCCGTTCAGGCTACGGTGTTGCAGCTTGTAGTGATTGAGGCAGTTGAGGTGGAATATTGAAGGTCTACTGGCCATCAGCGGAAACTCGAATGAGAGGCTTGCAAATGATGTTACATCGAAGGAGCTTCCAGTCGGATAGTTTAGCCCCATATAGACATCGCATTACGTTTAAGCGTTTCAGAGTCTGCATATGCAAGGGTACCGACCTGGTAACTACACACCTGAAAATTCCGTTCATTGCAGACATGTCTGTGTCTACCAGATGAATTTGACGACGTTGGTATCCAGAAAGCCCAATATCCCTTAATTAGGGAATATTCCCTAAATCATACTAGGATCCGTAATATGATTTCAGGTATTGTACTTAAGTAAGAGAGATATTGGGCTTTTTGGGTGCTGTTTCGCTGGAACATAGTCATACTGAGACCCCGGGGGTGGATTTAGGGTTTGGGGTTTAATGTTTAGGGGTGCTTCTATTCTACTGCATATCGTTTGCGGTCAACCCTAAACACTGCAATCCTGTTGAGGGTTTGGGGTTTAGGGTTGCCTGTTCCTTGATTGGGTGGTTTGGGGCTGACCCTAAGCCATAAACTCAGTTCAGGTTCGTCTTTGCTACTGAAGCATTCATGCCGTACTTGACCCACGCGGCTAAGGGTTTGGGGTAGTTTCGTGGAGATTTTGGAAACTACTTGCAATTAATATTTTCACCATACTTATACGCAGGCCAACGCCTATGGGGCAAGTTAGGGGACTAAGTCGGATCATCGGGGCCTTCCACTAATTACCATGGTAACTCAACTTGAGTTCCCCAATAGTAGCCCAGCTAAACGCCCACTTAGGAGTAGTCATACAATTTCATGAGCCACCAAGGATGGCCCCCACACGATCTGCAGTGCAGACTGTCTCCAATTGTGTGCCTTGAAATGAGGCGTTTCCTTTCTTTGGAATCCCCCTTCAGGATTTAGTGTTCCCGGTAGCAGCACTAAACTCAGGAAAACAGGGGACTCTTTTGGTTTGTGAAACTCCCGTCAAGGCCCTATGGTTTTACAGATACGCAGACTTTCCACATGTTGGCTCTTTGGTTGGCATCCAACATCCCAGAGAACTGCAAATCCTACAGCCCCGAGACCTGAAACCCGTAAACCCAAAACCGCAAACACCCGAAATACACGTAAAATCTCGCTTGTAGGCCCAGACCCTAAACCCTAAACCCTAAGCCTTCTTTCAAAACCACCTTGTAAGTAGGTTATGAATGAGGTTGTACGTGCCCTCATCAGGCTTGGCCTGCTTATAACCCACTTTATAATTTATAACCTGCTTACCAAGTCCCCTGACCTCTAAGTATTGCCACCAAAATATTCAGTGTTTAGGGTTTACGAAAATGCCCAATTCCGGCCCAAGTGCAAACCTGTTGCTAGGTCTTTGGGACGACGCCGCGGAAGGTGCCAACGGGGTTGTGACAGGTTTCGGGGCTAAGAACTTACTTTCAAATCCTAGTTTCAGGGTCTAGGTCTTAGGGTTTAAGACTTGCTTCCCAAGATATGGGCTGCTTGAATTCAAAGTGGTTGGAAATCAGGCGTAGTAGACCATGATCATTTGCCACTGGCTTTCGAGGTAGGCTTTAGAATTTGAGGGTACAAGATTCCAGAGTTGATGTGCTGAATTTTCACAATTGAGGGTTTAGGGTGACGGGGATGGATGAACTGAACCCGAAACCCTAAGTCGCCCAGCTTTTTGTACTACTGCAATGCGGCATTCCTCAAGATTTTTCTGAGTTTTGATTATATCGAAGACCACAAAGGTGGATAAAGCTAAGATTTTCACAGGTATCCTAATAAGGTGCCCGTCCTCCAATGCAAACGGCTCAGAAAACATGAAGGCAGTCACTGATGCGGCTTCGCTTAATTGCCCCTTCGGGAGTTAAACGAACATATAGCGTGCATGAAGCACGTACTGTAGAGCATGCAACTCATATTTGCCAACGTACAGGAAAAAATGCCTGAAAGCGGATGTCGTGGTAAGCCCAGCTAGCAGTAGCGCTTGATGTAGTGACGCACCATGCTTTGGTAGTCCGCGCTGGTAAGGACTTCTTCAGGGCCTAGATGCTGAAAGTCATGAGGGTTTTAGATAGGCGTCTGAATCAAAAAGCGCTTAGCGGTTGGTTTGGGTTCGGGATGGGGTCTGCAAAGTGCGCCTTCCACTCGAGTTTCCAAACATCCTTGTATACTGGTTGAGCCGTGAAGGGATCTGAAAAGTTGTGGCCCTCTCCCAGAGGCATCTCAGGCATCTCACAGTTCTGTCAAGAATAACTGGGTTGCTGTTAAGGAACTTAAGTTAAGTTACTATATTGGGGAAACCGTATTATTTACGATATATACCCATTATGGTATCTTAATTTAAGTTCCTTAACAGCAATTCAGATAATGAAGCTCTGCTGTTTGTAGAGAGACGCGCGGTTGAGCAAGGAACTATCCTGTGCAAAAGAGTTGTAGGCTCGACTGAGTTTGGAACGAAGAGCCCGTTGAATCTTACAAGACATAGGCGGCCGCTGCTAGTGATGCCTCGGACAGCTTTGGGTATAAGCCCTGATATTTTAGCACTTCTCACAGCTAGGGGTCCCATGCCTTTGTGGCTAAGTTTCCATTTCATTTTCCATTTTCTTTTCCATTTGATTCTCCAATATTGGGGTGTTTCCATTTTCTTTTCCATTATCCCCCATATAACCCCTATAATCCCTATATGTAGAGCTCCGTTGCCTCCAGCGCAGGCCTCTGGTGGCTACGAGCCCAAGGACTCGCCTCCGCCAGCAGCACCCGCAGCCACCTCTGACGCCAAAAAGCCCAAGTTTGGGGCTTTGCCAGGCGTACCAGGACAGGCCAAAGCGCCTGCAGAGATGCCTGCACCAGCTCCCCCAAGTGCTGGTGCACCGATGCCGCCTGAAGCAGCTCCGGCTCCTCCGAGTCCAGTGGCTGTCCATGAGCCAACATCCGCAGCACCTTTGCCAGATACCTCAGCAGCTGGAGCCCAGAGTTCCCCTGCGCAGGTTCCAGCAGCGCTGAAAGCTGCGCTTCCACGAGCACCAGTGCCCACGTCACTTCCGGCAAAGGCCCCGGAGCCTCCTGTGGAGGCATCTGCATCTGCTGGCTACCAGGATGCAGCCAAAGGGATGCCGGAATCATTGAGAGCTCCGCTTCCCAAAGCGCCCCTGCCGAAGGCTCCGCTGCCCCAACCACCACTTCCACAAACGCCAGCAGCAGCACCTGCACCTCCAACTCCACATGACAGCCCAGAAGAGCCGCCCAAGACAGATGCGCCCTCGGACTCCCACAAGATGGAGCAGAGGGCTTCAGCGCCCCTTCCCCCCACTCCAGCCCCTGCACCACCAACCCCAACAGCAGCACCCGAAGCTGTGAAGGCTCCCAAAGCCAAGTTTGCTCCTCTGCCAGCTGCTCCGCAGCCTGTGGCACCCACCAAACCGGCGGCAAAGGAGGCCTGGTGCTTGTAGTTGTGCTGTCCTGTTGTGTGCCTACTCCCCAGCACGCCCTAAAGGGGTAGGGTGGGTAGAAGCCTCTGCATAATAGTTTGTTTTGTTGTCGGCTTCTAATCATCAGGTCGGCAATCAAGCCCCCTGCCCTATTGTCTGGGCTGCCTTCGCAAAGCATGGCCTTGATGGCGACTTGAGTAGTGTCGGGGTAACACTAGTATCCCAAACGGGAGCTAACTCTTGTTCTTTGGTGTCGGGCTGCGCTGACTGGCGAATGTGAGTTGAGCAATCGGTTGGCAAACAGCAACGGCATGCATGTACATGAGGATCCGCGGGGAGGACATCATTCACTAGATCATGTGTAGGGCAGTACAGCTTGCTCTGAATAGCTTGTGGATGTTGAATGAAAGCCTCAAAGATTCTATGCAGTCCTTTGCTCGCTCGAGGGTCTCGAATTCGTGCAACAGACATCTTTGGCGGGGCTGTCGCATAGCGTGGTTCGATACTCCCTTTTTCCCCTCCGTTCTTCCTTCATTCACATCAAGCCAGTACCCAAAACCTTAAAATTAAGATTGAGAAACAAGCTTTGTATGCATCTCTCCCATGTTTCAACATCCTTTCTGGGACAAAACTCATGCAACGCTCTTTGGGAGGTTCATGCCAGGGAGGCGCACAACCCGTTCCCTACTGTTGCTTAAGGTGCTACGGGGAAGTGATTATGGGTACCAGGTGTATATATATATATATACACATGTGGAGTATATAGGGATTATTATGGCGATCTTCCCCCCCAGTCTCCTTTAAGCACCAGTAAAGCCTCCAGTGGATTTTCCGACATGATTTTGCATTTTGCAGACCTAAATGGCCCGGTAAGTTTGTTCAGCGTTCGCAAGGCACAATTTGTAGTAATTGGCAGTGGGATAGATGCGATGTTCCCGTAGCAGCTCTCCTACAAGCGCTCAAGAATTGCAGTTGCGCTCACCGTTGCCGGCTTGAGTAGCTCATGATGTCGTTGTTCTCTACTTCGAAAGTCTTGTCCGAGTCTGCTTCTGCCCTCAGAATTCTCGTTTGCGTTTTCTTCTGCTCCTCTAATTATACTGCTCCGTCCTCCTTCCCCTCCTGTTCCTCCTTGGCGTTCTCCGTCTAAACCCCAAACCCTCGGCCCTACACCCGCTTCTCCTAAGCCTCTTAATTTCTGCAACTTTTTCATCCTGTATGTACACCTCAACCCTACGCCAGTTACACAGATCTCCCCAACTCTAGCTCGAAACCGCCCTAAACCCTAACCCCCCCCCTCCCTCCCGAAACTCTCAGGCCTCTGATGAGTCCTCCGAAGATGAGCTGATCCCAGCTACTCCTCAGGGGCCTCCTGAGCCCCAAGGCCTCGGGGTTTGGGCTTTGGGGTTTGGACTTTGAGGCTCATACGTCAACTTATAGGGTTCAGGGTTTGAGGTTTGGGGTTTCGGCGGGTTTAGAGTTTGGGGGTTTAGTAGTTTCAGCCTGAGTGGTTCAAATGGTTGCTTTCATGGCTAGGACAGGGCCGAGAGGAAGAAGCGGAAGTAGTTGTGGCCATCATGGTGGTAGTCATAATGGTAGTACCTAAACCCCAAAAGTATGTAAAATAATAGCCCTAAACCCATAATAATAGCCATAAAGGCCATTATTTTACATACTTTCGGGGTCTTTAACACCTAATTCTTGTAGTTTCCATTTGCTTTTCCATTGTTTTATATACTTTTTGGGGTCCAGGTAGCACTTCCACCGGGAAGATTGCCGGCGGCTTCTCGTCCTCAGTCAAAAAAAGCGGAGTCTTCTTGCAACAGTAATAATAATAGTAATAGTAATAGTACTAGTAATAATAATAGTAGTGATAGTAATAATACTAGTAATAATAGTAGTAATAATAGTAATCAGCTTCTACCGCTATACCGTCGCCTAGTCCTTGTCCTCCTCGTGCTGCTGTTGAGGCTGCAGCTATTCCTCTTCCCCCTCCTTCCTGCTGCCGCGACTACCGTGAGCAAAGTCTGGATTTTGCAGCGCTTACCGCTGCTTTTGTGCGGGTCATGGGTGTCTTAGAAGTGGAAGTCGCGAGCAGCCCAGATGTTTGGCTCCACTATCTGTTTCAGAAGACTCGGGTGGTGGTGCGGCATCGCATGATGTGTTTAAGTTGATTTTGCGGGCCTGCTTGTGTTCAGCGTCTAGGACTGTTGCATGCCAAGCCTGTCACAGCCGCTATTTGCTAGCGTATCCGTGATGAGGTGACTGTCTTTCTTAAATCAACCAACCTTGGCAATTACCACCAGTTACGACTGTAAGTAGCAGCTCAGGGTAGAGTGGAAACATCAGCGCAAGTCCCGAACTAAGGCTTATATGACAACACGCCGCCAAGTTTTTCCATGCTCCAAAAAACGAGCCCCAGAAACGTTGAACCCTGAAGCCCTTAACCCGTAGATCTCTATACCGAATGCCCGAAGCCCCTAACTTTCAGACCTCAAACCTGAAACCTTAAAGCCTAAGCCCATAAATTTCTGCTCCAAGAGCCCTTAAGCTTCAAACCTTAAGCCCTGAACCCGAAGCTCTGCTTACAGCTTTATGCGGTACCTGCATTTAGAGCCAGTCTGATGACTTGTAGCGAAGAAAGGGCGCCAGAAAGAGGGAATGGTGATAAGCCCAGTGGTTAGTAGTTCCGTGAATCTCCAAGTACCCCCTCCATCTTGGTCCCTTATGCCTCTGAATCATTCCTCTGACTCCCCAAAGCCTTACCCTCGTCTGCCGAAACCTTGCAGTGCCCCCCTTGCAGCCAAAACCTTCAAACCACCATCAACCCTTGAGCCCTAAACTCAACAATAAACCCAAAACGCCCAGCCCTCTAAACCTCATTCTGTCGTGGACCAGAAAGCTTGACCCTAAGTCTGAAACCTCACTTCGGAGCCAAACAACCATATATCCTTGTACGACCTGCTCCTATCATCCCTTCACAAACTAAACTCTACAACCTAAACCTCAGCATTTTTTACATCCCTATCAGAATTGCTTTATTATAAGACCCGTAGCCCTACACCCCAAAACCCAAGCCCTAAACCCCAAACCCTAAACACCGAACCCTAAACCCCAAGCAGTGTAAACCCCAAACCCTGAATCTCAACCTCCAAACCATAAACTCTAAGCCCCCAGACCCTAAACCCTAAACCCCGAACTCTAAACCACAAACAGTGTAAACGCTAACCCTCTACCCTAGGTCACACGTTGGTATTGGCCCGTAGTGTTTCGGGCCACCGGGTTGCGGGTCAGAATGTTTGAATGTCACAAAAGTG